GCCGCGGAAGTTCCCCACTGCTGGATGATCCCCAAGCCGGAGCTCCTGGGGGCAGACTGTGCGTAGACTATGCTTGGGCCTAGGGTAGCACAAGGGCTCAGCCCGGTCTGGGTAAAGGGGTTCCCACTCTTTGGCTAGGGGCTGGGAGCCCAGGTGGGTTATGAGCCTTCCTGTTCCCCTGCAGCCGCCTACACTCCAATCACCTGTTCTGTGACTGCCACCTGGCCTGGCTGTCACAGTGGCTGAGGCAGCGGCCAACCATCGGGCTCTTCACCCAGTGCTCGGGCCCCGCCAGCCTGCGCGGCCTCAACGTGGCTGAGGTCCAGAAAAGCGAGTTCAGTTGCTCAGGTGGGTGTAGGTCCAGCTGGGGCTCTCGACTGCCCATCTTGACTGTCTATCACTTGCCTCCTGTCGCCTCCCTCCCCATCTCGTTTCCTTCCATGACCTCCTGCCACCACGCGTTAACGTCGGGCCCACCCATGACCTCATGCTCTCTCCTATTACCTCCTTTCTCTACGCATCACCTCCTGCCTTATCCATCACCTCCGGGACCACCCACTATCTCCTGTCTTCACTCATTATTTCCTGTTCCCATCCATCACCTCCTGTCCCTACTCATCACATCCTTTCTTTACCCACCACCTCCTTCCTTACCTGTCGCCTCCTGTCCTTATTCATCACCTCCTTTACCCACCCGTCTACCCCTCCTACCCATCCATATCTCCTGTTCTCACCCATCACCTTTGTCGTCACGTATCACCCTTTGCCTCTGCTCCCTTGTTCCTCCTGCTCCCACCCATCCTCTCTTCCTGTCCTCCTGTTGCCTCCTTCTGTCCTACCCCCTTTACTCTTTTCGTTTCTACCCAATGTGTCCTCCCATTTCCTCCTGCCCCGCACCCATCCCCCCCAACCCTTGCTCCCTCCTATTACCACCTCTCCCCTCCTGCCATTGCTTCACCCCTGTCACCTTGAAAAGTCATTGAATTGGCTCATCTAGCCTCAGCTCAAGGTGAGGTGGACTCCAGAGTACGCGCCCTCCATCTTCCACCTGGGGTTCTGTGAGAGCCCCCTGACTGCCATCCCACTTCTTCTCCAGCCCCTTTGATCTCCATACTGTAGCCAGAGAGACCTAAAAGGACCCACAAGTCTGGGCAGGTCACCACTGCCTCATACTCACTGGCCTTCTGGTCTTCCTGGGAGAATCCAAACTGCCCTTAAGCTCTGCAAGGCTGGGGCAGGGTTATCTCAGCCTCCCCCTACCCAGTGGCCTCCCCCAGCAGCCTCCTCACTCCCTGTGTCCCAGCGGGCCCCCCTCTGCCCCTTCCTGGAGCAGGTGCCTCCCGCCTCGGCCTTCGCACGGGCTGCTCCCCTGTTGGCAAGCTCTTCTTGCCTGGGTGCTTGCTGATGCCTCCTCACCTCGCAGAGCCCAGGGAGCCTTCTCTGTTCGCTCCAGAGACTCCTTCCCTGAGAAGGGCATTCTCACAATTTGTCAGAAGTCCTCATAGCTTTGTGTCCTTTGATCTTGGTGCCCACCTTTTAGGGGAGCCAAGGAAAAGATCAGAGGTTGAATGCTGGTGAAAGTGTAAATTGTCTCAGAACTGATTAGCAGAATCTACTAGAGCCCAACATATGTCTACCCATGACTATGACCCTGCAACTCCACCCTACAACTCCATTGCTAGGTACGTGCGTATGCTCGGCAAAACTCGTGTCCAAGAATATCCAAGGCACCTTTCTTTGAAACAGCCCAGAGTTGAAGACAAGCCAGATGTCCACCAACAAGCGAGTGGATTAACTACTGATGACATATCCATTCCAGAGAATACTAGCTAGCGATAAAAAAAGAGCAAACTGCTGATACACACACAACATGGGCGACTCTCAAAGATTTTATATTGAGCAAAAGAAACCAGACACAAGGGAACCTGCTGTCTGATTTCGTTCATGTGAAGTCCACAAGCAAGCAGAACAAATCTTTGGTGCCCCTTGGGGAAGGGGCATGAGGAAGGCTTCCTGGTAATAGAAATGTTCCATGTCTGGGGGGACAGTTCTGTGGGTGTATCCAGAAGTAGAAACCATCCAGCTATACACTTCAGACACTTTATATATAAAGTTATACTGCAATTAAAATAATTTATAAGACACTGGACTTCATCCTGCTTTTAGCACCTATTGGTTGTGTGGTTTTCCACAAATTAATTAACATCGAGGACTCTGTTTCTCTCTCTTGTAAAATGGCCACAGTAATATCATACTTCTCCTAGACTGAGTAGCAGAATTAAAGGAGATACTGAATTATGACATTTAACACAGCATGTGGCACAGAGCTTACATCCTTGGGTGACAGACAAGGAGATTCCGGCTCAAAAGTACTGAGTGACATGGATGGGAACATGGAGCTTCAGAATTTAGGCTAAAATTTCCAAGCATATGAATCACAGTTTCATGCAGTACAGTTATGTTCAGATTCAAGTTCAGCAAATATCTAACAAGTACCTGCTATGTGCCAGGCACCCACAGAGTTTCATCAGAGCCCTTGGTGATCCTGGTTCAACCTGAGCCAGAGAAACACCATGTGCCCCATTCTCTCACATCAGCCTATATCTCGGGAGGGAGATGCGGGCATGGGACACCTGAGGTCACAGCCCACTGTTTCCGCAGGCCAGGGGGAGGCGGGGCGTGTGCCCTCGTGCACCCTTTCCTCCGGCTCCTGCCCAGCCATGTGCACCTGCAGTAATGGCATTGTGGACTGTCGCGGCAAAGGCCTCACCGCCATCCCTGCCAACCTGCCCGAGGCCATGACAGAGATGTGAGTACAGGGCAGAGCAAGTGTGGGGATACAGGCCCTGGGGCTGGGCCAGGCTCTGGTGGTCCACCTGAGGGCTTGCACCAAGGCTCTTCTGTGGAAATGGAGGAGACGCAGTTTTCCTTGGCTGGGCAACTCTGGAAGGCTGGGAAAGGGTGTTCCTCCAAGGTCCACCTGTCGAGCTCAGCTGGGTGATTCTGACAGAATTGGTTTCTGAGTATTAGCATCATTCGTAGGCCCCTTTCAGCCATGGCAGCCTGGGATCATGGATCTCACATTACAGCAGCCCCTTTTCTCTGCCTGTGCTGACCCATCTACTCCAGACAATGCATGGGAACAGGGCAAGAGAGGCAAAGGGTCTGGTTTGGGTGGGTGAGCCCAGCAGGGCCTGGGGTGACCTGATCGGGGGACTCCTCTGTGTTCTCTCTCTGCAGCCGCCTGGAGCTCAATGGGATCAAGTCCATCCCCCCAGGAGCCTTCTCTCCCTACAGAAAGCTTCGGAGGATGTGAGTGCCTCCTGCTGCTTCCCGAGAGTCAGCATGGGGCAGGAGGAAGAGCCTGGACCAGGCATGCCACAGCCCTGGGCAGGTCCTGACTGCCTCTGAGGGCTGAGAGGCCCTGGGCTAGCTGCTACCTGGCCTTCCTGCCCCACAGGTGGCTCATCTATGACATGGAGATGGCAGTGGTATGACCTCTCGCAGAGTTGTGCTGAGGCCTCAATGCTGAGCCTGAGTCTGGCATATGACCAGAGCTGATTGTCATCCTCTCATTTCAGCTTGGGCACCAATAGGAGCCATTGCGGACGTGAGGGGGTGTAGGGGACAGCTGGGAGGTGGGGAAAAGCTTTGTCAAGGACCAAGGCTGGAGTGTTCTGCCCGTGCACGACCCTCAGGCTGCACAGGGAGAGAACGGCCATGGGTTTTTTGAACAGATGGGCAAGCAAGGCCCTCATTTTTCTAGTGCTCTCCCATGTCATCTGGGAGGGGACCAGGCAGGGCTTGGCGGCCTCTGAGGGATTCAGTCACCCTCTCTCCTATTCACCTTGCAGAGACCTGAGCAACAACCAGATCGCGGAGATTGCACCTGATGCCTTCCAAGGCCTCCGCTCCCTAAATTCACTGTGAGTAGCTGCACCAAGCTTCCTCGGGAGTCCAGAGTGTCCCCCAAGTTGGCCAGCAGGGCCCAAGGCCCCTCCTGTGGACGATAGAGGGAGAGCACAGACCCTGCCCATCTGGCCTCAACCAGTCTCCTTTTGGCCACAAATTCTAGAGTTTCTGTGCCTAGCACACCCTTCCTCACTGGAGGACCTTCTGGTCCTGGGAGGGGGAGGAGGGAATGACGGACTGAGTGCATGAAATCTAAGCAGAACAGTTGCCCCTGGCAACCGTGATGCTCTCCCTGCCAAGGTGGGAATTTTCCCAGCATTCTTTGCAGCAGTCATCTGACTCTGCCCAGCTTTCATGCTGGCCTGCCTCCCCGCAGAGGCCCAGCTCTCCATGCGCCTGAGCCTCCTCCAAGTCACCTACAAGGGTGGCAACCATCAGTTCCAATTGTGACATCTGCCACACTTGTTATCTTTCATTCCCAAAGTGCTCTGATCCCAAGTCGTGGTGGGTGATGCAAAGACAGCATTTTCTTCCACCTCTTCTCAGTATTTCCCTTTCCTCAAGGGTTCATTGGGGTGGGGTGGGGGGGGTCTGTCCAACTACAGAACATGCGGCATCAAAACTTCATCTTGGAAATGTTACTTCATCTTTCTTTTTCTAAGAACCCTTGCTTGCACCCCTGTGTTCACCAAGCCCCTCACTCTCTGAGGCCTCCGGGTACTTTGTCTACACGAAGAGTGCATTCAGGGTACCCTCTAGTCAGGCGAGCTCCCCGTTGGTAGGGGCCTTTGGTTACCCTTAGGAATAGTGTTTTCACCTGTCTCTTATGTGAGACAGCACTGGACACGTGCCTCATGTAAATTAGGGGCCTAGGAAGTGGAATGAAATGGAACTTCTTGGCAAGAGCAGGGGGTAGCCAGGTCATGCTTCTTCTCCTGGAGTAGCATTGAGGTGGTGGATTCTTGTGAACGGCACCACTTAGGCTGTGCGGTACAACCTACACAGTTGTACGTGACGGCCTGGTGATGGATCACTGTCACCAACGGAGGAGATCTGATCCCAGAGGCAGACTGCCAAAATGCATGGCTCTTCCTCTGAGAAGCGAATGAATCTTCTACGTCGGATATGACGATAACCTATCTAAGTGAGCTTCTTTTGCTCCTGGGTTCCTGGTCACAGCCACTTCCCCACCCTATGGGAGGTTTTGTACTGAGGTCATGCAAATAGATCTCATTGACGGTGTCCATCCACCTTGTCCGGCCCTGACCTTGTCTTTCTGCATCAACTCCTGCTCTCTCCCCTCCATTCTCCACACAGCAGATTGATGGATCTTCCCGAATGCCGGTCATATTCCAGAGGCTTCCTGGTGCTGGATGGGTGAAGTCCAAGCTCTGTCCCATTTGTTTCCTACGCTCCAGTCACACTGGGGCTCTCCCCATCGCCAGCTCAGATCCCACTGTGGGGACTTTGCTCCTGCATGCCCTCCTCCAGGAAGGATCTGGAAGCCGTGTCTGAAGAGACAGCACACACTGTTTTTGCTCAGACTGAA